CCATCCATCCATCCATCCATCCATCCATCCATCCATCCATCCATCCATCCATCCATCCTTCCATCCACCCATTCATCTCTTTCATCCATCCATCTATCCATCCATCCCTCATCCATTTCCATTCATCTGTCCATCCTGCAGTGTTTGTGCAGGGTTGGTAAGAAACACAGACTTCAGCGGGAAACTCATTTGTGAAGGGAGCAGAGAACCCATACAAAGGAGAGTGAAGCCATCTACGTTGGGCGTGGGGTGAGGCTGAGTAAGAAGCTTTCCGTGATTTGATCGTAAAGGGCGTGATAACCGTGAAGGGCACCTTGGCTGAGGAGGAGGCAGGTCTGAGAGAAACATTGTGGCAGGAACACTCCTTTGTGCTGCCCAACCCCTCTGTAAGCTGGAGCGGGGACAGGGAGCTTCGGAGGAGAGTTCCCACTCTAAGAAATAGCGTGAGTGTTTGGACAGCTTCCCATGTGTAGGACACCACATTCCAGTGACCCTGCCAGTGATGGAGGGGACATTGGGGATCCTCACTGGGTGCCCGTATTTCAGATATTGATGAGTGTGTGCGTCCCCAGCGCCACTGTACGGGGAAAACCATGTGCGTCAACATTGGTGGAGCCTTCCAGTGTATCGACCCCAAGTGCCCTGAGGACAAGAACAATGTGACCTATGTGATGACGTCTCCCCTGTGAGTATCCCAGGTGGCTGGGCTGGATTTTCCAAAGGTTCTTGGGAGAAGGTGCAGTTATGTCTGAGGAAAGATGAAAGGCAGGGAGCTGGGAGTCTGGGTTCTCTGCGCTCCTGTTTCCCTTCAGTGGTGGCGGTACATGCATCACGGCCTGTGCAGCCAGGACCCAGTTTGCCCCAACAGGAGTAATCTGCCAGTGCTGCTTGCTGACACAGAAGATGCCAGCACTTAGCCACCGGTGCTGCAGGTCAGGGAGGGAGACCGCCGGTGGTGTGGCCAGGAGACAGGCATACATCACACCGATCTGGGAGAGGATCACCTTCCCGTGTTCGCACAGCACATCCTGCACACCTTGCCAGCGCTATATCACCCGGCTTTTCCACTGGTACTGGAAGGTTTGGCTTCTAGGTTTGGCTCCTGCATAGCACTGAATAGAGCTTTTTCTTTTCAAAAGGTGGGAGACAGGCCTTTAGGGGAGAATAGCCACAACTGTAACAAAGGACGTAGGAGTTTAGCACTGTCTTTAGAATGAACCGCCTTCCCCAGCTTAGATACCTGAAGTGCTCTGGGGGGCCACAGCAGAGTGGAAGCAGCGAGGGAGCCCTGAGAGTGGCAGCTGTCAGTGAGAGAGAAGAGCTTAGGAGCCACTCAGTGAAGGGACAGGGGGGCCTACATGTCATAGCCCTGGGGACATCCCTAATTTTCAGCCAGATGTGCTATTCAACTTGCATTAATTACCATGATGATGTGACTCACCAAATTAGCTTACCTGCATCTGTGTTTATGTAGGAAATGTCAACCCTTCCTCATGACCCCAAAGGGTTAAGGCAGACAGGGCTTCCTGCTCAGGAATGAATAATCCTGGGGTTTGGGAAGGTCAGTAGTGGGGAGCGCCATATTTCAGGATGTTGCCAGCTACCTGCTGGGGTCCCGCCGTTAGGTGGAGGTCTCAGCGTGTGCAGAGGGTGCCTGGTTTGACTACAGCACCACCATTGCTATTTAATCTCTCCTGGCTTTATTTTTCTGTAAAAGCTATAGTAATAGCATACATGCACACGCACACGCATGCATGCACACACACACAGGAACACACACATACACACACAAGTGGGATTAGGAGGGTGCCTATTCCTTGGCCACCTTGACACCAGCCACACTCACTTGCTTGTAGCTCCCGGCACCTGTGGTGAGGGACCAGTGGCTGGGAAAGGTCACTCCTGTGGCCTCTGCAAGAGGGCAGGCAGGGGACAAGCCAGGTCAGGGCAGCCCTTCTGCACCTTCCCAAGGCTTACTGCCTACATCTTGCCTCTCTAATCCAGTCGGTGTGAGCGAAATCCCTGCCCCATGGACAGCAAACCCTGCCTCCGCCTGCCCAAGACTGTCTCTTTTCACTACCTGTCTGTGCTTTCCAACCTGGCAACGCCGGTGGTGCTCTTCCGCATGACCATGCCCCCGCTGCCCGGCCAGCGGAAACCCAAGGGCCTGCGGTTTGGCATCGTGGGAGGGAACAGCCGCGAGCACTTTGTGATGCAGCGCTCAGACCTCCGGACAGGGGAGCTGATCCTCCTGAAGACCCTGAAGGGGCCGCTGACAGTGGAGTTGGACCTCGCCATGTCGGAATACCTGGGCCGCTCCTACCAGATCAGCCACGTGTCCAAGCTCACCATCTTTGTGTCCCAATACGACTTCTAAGAGTGCGTGAGCACGGGGTGGAGATCTGGGCTCATGTGTCTTCCAAGGCTCAGCTGTGGGCACTGACTGCGAGACGCCTCCCCTCCCTGCCCGCCTGCTCACCTGCCATTCACCCAGGGGTCCAGGGCACCGCTGCACCCTGGCCCACAGCGTTGCACGGAAGGGCGGCCACGAAACCCAAACTGCTGCCATCACTTTTGTTTTCTGCTTTAAGGTTGTTCCCGTCGATTATGCACTAATTTTCTGAAATCTCTTTTCCAGGGGAATGGGTAGCTTTTGAAAATGCTGTGCGAATGGCACTATGGGTTTGAGCTAGCCGGGGAGGGAAGGCTTACAATGTGGATCAGTCCTGTATTATTAGTCATGTTGAGGGTCAGACCGGGCCCGGTGTGCGTGGCACGGGGTGGGCCCTTGGCCACGACCCGGAGTTCTGCTGTTGTCTGTGTCCCCTCGGTGACATGCCTGCCAGCCTTCTCACAGAGAGGGGTGCAGGCCTGGGAGCCCCACATGATTCTTCTAGACCAAGGGACCAACATTGAAGAGTAGATTCTGCCTGAATTAATTCCTTTTGAGAAATCATATCTCAAAACATAACCTGGTATTCTGAGTAAATAAAGCCTCTTGTTTCTCCCTGCCCACCTGGCCTGTCCCTGAACATGAGCTGGCCCCGTGCCTTGTAGGAGGGGACACCTAGCTCGCTTCCTGTCTAGGCGCAGCCACTAAGATGAATGACTAAGAGAGAACACATAGGTGAATGTGGGATTGCTCCCGCAGTGGAAATCCGGCCTGGCCCAATAGGAGATTCATAAGGCAACACCAGGCTGTGAGGAGTTTAAGATGCTCCAGGCCTTCTACTTCTGATGGAAGAGCCAGGAGGAGATGCCCTCCAGTGACCAGCTAAGGCTGGGGGTGGGGCGGGGTGGGGTGGGAAGTTGGCTGAGCTGTGAGGTTTCAGTATCCAAATAGATGTTAATCTAGGTGAGATTTCATCACAGATGCGTTATTTTAAAACTCTGTATTTGCTTGGTATGAGATGGAGCCAGAGGACATGTGTTGCCAGGTTAGTGGCCAAGCCCACATCAGGATGTTTCTGGGACACTATCCTTGTCTTAATTTGCCAGACAAGAGTAAGACACAGTCAAGAGTTGCCTTTGATATTTTTCATCTCCTCCCATGAGCTCAGCTGCCATCTCTCCAACGACAGAACCAGGGCCTGTAAATCTGCCTTTCTGGGCTGTTACATGACTATTGAAACTGTTGTCCACAGCCTTGTGTTTCCAAGTGGTGCTGTGAAGGATCAGAAGCCTGCAGGCCACCCTGTCCCCTATGCGGACGTCAGGTGGGAGAGTCCAAAGGCCTGGCCACGTTACAGTGGTGTGCTCTTCCTCCTTGCTGAGGGCTTGGGTGGCTCCCAGGGACAAGCCTCGCACCTCCCAGGTGAGGCATGTAGATGCTCTTCAGAACAGGCGCCCACCTCCACTGGTGCATCACGATGACTTGGATGCCACAGGCCCAGCCTAAAGCAGTGGTTTGCATCCTTAGATCTGCCGTCACAGTGCCGCATGAATGCCCGGCTGCTTGCGTTCCTCCTGTGGAGTACGCCTGGGCCTTCTCCGTGGGTGATACCTTATGTTCTCTTTTCTCTCTCACCTCACTTTCCCCGTGGAAACCAACCCTCTTTTGTCCTTTCACAATCTGTGCCAGGTCAGAGCAGCTAATAGAGGTATTAATTTGCACCCCTTTCCAAGAGACATAGTTTCCTAGTATTCGGCAGTGGTTTTTTTTTTAACTTTTGATCACGCACAGTTGCAAACACACACAAAAGCAGAGAGGAGTGCAATGAGCCCATGTCCAAATCACCAGCCTCGGTGAGTAACACATAGCAAGTCTTGTTCCATCTCTATTCTCACCCCACATGATGATTCTGGAGCAGATCCTAGACGTCAGTCACATTATTTCATCTGTAAATATTTTAGTATTTCTCCTTAAACTATAAGTACTCTTTAAAAAGCACAACCTCAATACCAGTGATATCTAAAAAATTAGCAATAATTCTTTAATACCTTCAGATATTTCTGAGTGGCTCATGACTTTGTTTGAATTGGATCCATGATTTGTAATTTGTTGATAGGCCTCTTTAGTCTCTTTTAATCTGTACAGTGGTTCTCACATCTGAACATATGTTTGGAGAAACTGGAGGCTTGTTAGAAGACAGAGTACTGGGTCATTTGTCCTGTAGAATTTCCCACAGTCTGGGTTTTCCTGAGTGCATCTCTATTATGTCTTTTTCCATGTTCCTCTGTCCTCTCTGCTTTTTACACATCAATCTTTATATCTAGAGATTTAATCCAGGTCCAGTTAGGTTTTGCTTTGCAAGACTGCTTTCTTGGTGGTAACAGGAGCTTCCAGTGGGAGCAATAGAGTCTCTTGTTGACTCTTTTCTAATGTTAGCAGCCACTGATGTTTGTTGATAGACCATGACTCCTTTAGGCGTCGCAAATAATATTCTAGTGCTGTTGTTTCTTTTTTGTTTATTGGCTGGTGTACTTTGTCAAGAGAAACCTGCTTTCATCAATTATTTGGCTGTCCTGGGGTTTGGTCTATATAGGAAAGGCAGGAAAATTCCTCGACTCTTCTTAGCTTGCAAGGTGGCTGCGGTGAGAATTGTTTTCTTGCCGAGTACATGATGAACTCGTGGTTTAAACAGCTGAGGTATGTTTCAGGGCATTGCAGTTATTGTTCCTGCTGTTGCTCAGACTGTGGTCCCTCTGGCCCTTGGGAACTGCTTCAAGTTGGCTGATTCCTGTTGACATGACCCGGGTGGTCTTTGATAGTTTCATAGTTATCTTGTCTATCTGTTTCAAGCTCATCTTGTGTATTCTGAGTCCCAGCCCTGAAGTCATGCATTACCCCAGGGATCCTGGTTCTTTTCAGTGGGCAATGATAATTAGAGATCAAAATCTGGGTGCTAAGGGTGCTCAATGGTAGTGGTGTGATCAGAATGACAATGCCAAAATTATCACAAAAAATAATTACTGAAAACAGTTAAAGTTTTCTTTTGCAATTCTGTTTCTTGGTTTTAGTGGACAGAACTAGGACATGTGTACTCTTTGTTGTTGTTGTTTTTTAAAGAGAAAAACACTACATGAGTTTATATTGGTATTTCCAGTTCAACTCAGGAGTACAGGGTTTTTATGTAACTTCATTGACCTTACACCTACTCTTCTTTCTCTCATTTGAAAAACTTCCTCAAAAATCACCCAAATAATTACATATTGTCTTTTCTTTGAACACTTTATTGAATTTACTGGGGTGACAATGGTTAATATGAACATACAGGTTTCAGGTGTGGGTTTCTATGTTACAACATCTGTATATTGCTCTGTGTGCCCACCACCCAAAGTCATATCTTCTCCCGTCACCATATAGTAAGACCTACACATTACACATTATCTTAAATCCTCAGAATGACAATGCCAAAATTATCACAAAAAATAATTACTGGAAACAGTTAAAGTTTTCTTTTGCAATTCTGTTGTCCTTAGGGTTTATGCCTAGGGATGTACAGTCAAATTACTGTTTTAAAATAACCTGGAACGGGTCCTCTCTCTGCGGTTATACCCCAAACTTGAATTAGGTCATTCACTTGGTTTTCCTTAAAAATTTTTAGAAACTGCTTTTTTATTTTAATGTTTTATAATTAGGTAAACTATTTACATGGTTCCAAATTCAAATCCACAATATGAACTGCCTGAGAAGTCTGTATTTTATATTCTCTCCATCCTATTACCTTTTTCTGCCATAGATAATATTTTTTTCCATTTTACCCTTCCATTTAAAACAATATATGCAGGTGGTAAATGATATCATGCTATTTTACACTTTCCTTGATCTTGCTTTTTTCTTAACACTATATTGGACACCACTCCATAAAACCAGACAGAACATTCTCCTGTAAAGTGCTCCATTATAAGGACATACCAGTGTTTATCCAACCAGCCACCTTGATTGACATTTGAGNGTAAAGTGCTCCATTATAAGGACATACCAGTGTTTATCCAACCAGCCACCCTTGATTGACATTTGGGTTGTTTCCAGTCCTTTCATATTAAAAATATTGCAGCAATATGCATTTGTCTTTTCGTATTTTTGCCTTTGTAACTCTGTTCCCTCCATAAGGATTCTACTCCTTTCTCTTCCCAACAACAATGCATGAGAGTCATGTTCCTGAATCAGAGAAGGCCCAGGAGCATCCCTGGTTCTCACATCAGCACATCACCCCCGGAAGGACAGAGAGGCCTGAGTGGAGGGCTGTCCCCCAGCAAACCCACCTGCTCATACTGGACTCATGAGTAGCAGTCAACAGCCACTAGGAAGAGATGAGACAAGCCAACTGGATCACTGGCTCCTCAATGTTGGAAAATTAGCTAGGTTTTCAGATAACTTTTAAAAATCATCTTATTTTTCTTTTTAACTAATTTTTTAAAAATATGTTTTTATTTACTTTAGAGAGAGAGGAAGGGAGAAGGAGAGAGAGAGAAACATCAATGTGAGAGAGAAACATCAATTGGCTGCCTCCTGCATGCCCCCTGTTGGCGAGCGAGCCTACAACCCAGGCATGTGCCCTGACCAGAAATTGGACCAGCAACCTTTTGGTGCATGGGATTATACTCAAGCAACTGAGCCACACCAGCCAGGGCAAAAAAAAAAAAAATAATAATTAAAAAAAAAATTCTTCTTTTCAAAGTGTAGCACCTCCAAAACTAACAAACAAAAAGAAAAATAAATTTAAAACAAAATATCACTGAAGAATCAAACTTGATGGGTTTGTGGGGCTCTGAGTAAGTGCCTAGAAGAGACATGAAGTCAGACTCAGGGGTCACGTTCCACCAGCCACCTGCCTCAGCCCTTACCAAGCACCCACTGCAGAGGTGGAAGGTAGGCTTTTGTGACTTTTACCTTGTACATTTGAGAATCTGTAGGTTTTTATAAGCAGCATAAAAACTGAATGTCTCCTGTATTCCAGGTGCTGTTCAGTTGCTTAGGATATAATGGATGACCAGATTGACAGGAACCCTGACCTCACGGCGCTTACATTTCAGCAAGTGAGAAGATAATGCACATGTAAACAAGAAAAGTATGTGATTTCACGGAGGCATGAATGCTGTGAAAACGAGGGTGGTCAGTACATGGGGAATGTGCTCAGCTTGACCACCCCTGTAGCCAGATGTTGCAAACACTGTCATCGTGTGTGGTGACAATTAGCTCCCGGCTCCTGGTGTTTGGATTGTGGCTCAGAATTTGGAGTGTGTGAATGCAGCAGTGATAGGAGGAGGCCTGAAAAAACCACACTGGGTTCATGTGCACAGAGCAAAGGCAGCTTCGTGAAGACAACAACGATGCTGACTTGGAAAGAGAGGGAAAGGAAGCCTTGGGGGACCTGCAGCGACAGAGCCTCATTTTTTGTTTTGGTTATTACTGTTGTTATAAAATGTCCTCAAACCTACAGTCTTAAAACAGTTATTTTATCATGCTTATGGATTCTATGGGTCAGGAACTCAGAGTACAGGGAGATAGTTCACATTTGCTCCACAGTGTCTGCACCCCCTCAGCTGGGAGCACTCCTGGCCAGGGGCCGGGTTACTCGCATGTTGGCCTGGTCGGGGAAACTCGCAGACAGGACAAGCAGACAGCTTTCCTTGGGCTCTCCACGTAGATTAGCTTCTTCAGAGCATGTTGGCCTCAGAAGGGTGGGATTTCTGACATAGTGGCCCAGGTTCCTAGTATGAGTGTCCAGAAAACAAGATAGAAGCTGCACGGCCTTATGACCACCTTGGAAGTCACAGAGTCACCTGTGTCATACTCTGTTGGTCAAAGTTGTGTCAAACACCATTGAGTAAAGGGAAGTGGACATGGACCAGTGAGTCCTCCCTAAGTTGGGTTGAGTTGAACGGAAGTTTCAAAGGGTTTTAGGGACATGTTTTAAACTGCCACTCCTGGTCTTCTGTGTGGGGACCAGTGTCCCATGACACCCGGCTTCCTGTGGTTTACCAGAAACTCCATGTCCTTTCCTTCTTGCTCAAGCTCTTGGGTGTGTTCTGTTCAGGCAGACAATCCCTGCCATGGACAGGGTTTGTACTCGAGTTGGGAGATGAGATCTCACCTGTACCTCACGGGGTACCTTTACAACAGTAAAAACAGTCAAAGCCCAATGAGCTGGAAGCTCGCCGGGGTCAGAGGTCAGGGGAAGGAGACCACTGGCAGGGTCAGGACCAGTTCATGAAGAAGCTGGCTCTTAAGTGATTCTGATTAGAGGAAGTCTCATGGGACATTCAGGCCACATTCATGTGCCCTTGCTCTCACAAGGAGGATTTCCAACAAATCCCAGCATTGGCAAAGCCACGGAAGTGTCAGCTGACTTGCAGACCAGAGAGTATGACTTGTGGAAATTGGGTCTGAGCTGACAGAGTTTTCTGAATCTGACCACCTTTAGATGAAAAATTAGATTGTTGCAATCTAGTTCTTTATTTCCAGGAAGCTCTCTATTAAATTTTTTTGTTATCCTCACTGAGGATGTTTTTTCCATTGCTTTTCAGAGAGAGTGAAAGGGAGGAAGGGGGAGAGAGAGAAACATTGATGTGAGAGAGACATATTGACTGGTTGCCACTCACACCCACCAGGACTAGGGGTGGGATACAAATCTGGACCCTTTGGTGCTCGGGCCGGTGCTCTAACCACTGAGCACACCAGCCAGGGCTCTCCAGGAAGCTCTTTTGATATACTTTTGAGGAGAAACAGGCTCTACGGCATGCATACCTGGCTTCCTTAGGCAGGAGTCACAGCAGCTGAGCAGTGGTCCTTGCATGACAGCCGGCCTTCCTTTCACAGTCATTGAGTGGTCAGACATGTTTCTGTAAAGATCTCTGCTTTTTTTTTTTTTTTTAAATATGTCTTTATTGATTTCAGAGAGAGGAAGGGAGAGGGAGAGATAGAAACATCAATGATGAGAGAGTCATTGATCAGCTGCCTCCTGCACACCCTCTGCTGGGGATCAAGCCCGAAACCGGGGCCTGTGCTCTGACGGGGAATCGAACTGTGATCTCCTGGATCATAGGTCGATGCTCAACCGCTGAGCCAAGCCAGCCGGGCAAGATCTCTGCTTCTTAAATCCATCTGTCCTCCCCACCCAGCCATCAGGTTCCATCACAGGAAGAGCACGTTCCTTACCTTGCCCGAGTCCTGCAGGTGGCTGTCTTCACTCCTGCCTTCAGCCAGCAGGGAGCGCCCGATGGGGCTGGGGGCTGGGCCCTGAGAGCAGGCATCTCTCTCACTCCAGTGCTGGAGCCTGCCCAGGGGACAGATATGTCTCTGCAGAGCATTCCCCATTTCCCTGAAGGCAGCCGGACCTTAGAGTGCAGCCCCAACCCCCAGAGCCCGAGTGATCTGGCCCCAGCCCACCTTGTGGCCCACACTGAGGACGCTGCCACAATCACCAGCCTCCTTTCTGCCCCTTGACTCCACCAAGCTCATTCCCACCTTGCTCAGCTCTTCACTTGGGGTGGTTCAAAGGTCCCCTTCTCAGGGCATCCCAGCCACCCTTGTCAATGCTGCTCTTCTCTCTGCAGTCGCCCCTGATCCCCTTGCCCTGTTTCGTTTTCTTTAAAAACACTTCTCACTCTCTGGAATGAATGTGTTTCTTTACCTAGTGTCTTCTGTCTCCCCAAATCACAGACGCTGTTGGTTCCCCATCCAGGATCCATTTCCCCTTCCTACGTTCCAGGGAAGAAGCCTGTTTTGCTCAGAACCCCACCCCCCCCTTCTTGTTTGGGCTGAACTGTGTCCCACCCTAAATTCCTATATTGAAGTCCTGACCCCCAGGACCTCCGAATGTGGCTGTACTTGGGGATGGGATGGGTCCTTTAGAGACGTGGAGTTAAAGTGAGGTCATCAGGGTGGGCCTATCTCCAACACGAGCCGTGTCTTTATAAAGAGAGGTGAGGACAGACACACAGACGGAGGCCACGGGAAGGCACAGGAAGGAGGCGACAGCCGTCTGCAAGTCAAAGGGAGAGAGGCCGCAGGAGAAACCAATCCTGCCGGCTCCTTGATCTCAGGCTTCTGGCGTCCAGAT